ATGAGAACTAGGCTTCTCAGTGATTGAGAAACTACAGATTAAGCAAAAGGGAATGCTAAAATAAACCCTGGGGTATTGAATTAAAGCTAGATGTATTAAATAACTCTAATATATCATGGTTTCATTATACACACAATACATACAGAAACACAAGTGAACGTTGTACAACAGTTTCCTCCATGTTTAGAACATTCCGTCCTGTGGGTTCCTTAAACAAGAAGGCAAATAACCCTAAATAGCTTCAGGAAGTCCCTGAAACTGACCAGATTCACTAGAACAGTGGTTTTCAACGTGTGGGCCACCACCCCTTTGGTAGTGGGGGTCGAATGGCTCTTCCACGGCGGTGGCCTAAGACCATCGGAAAATACAGATATCCACATTAAGATTCATAACAGCAGCAAAATTATAGTTAAGAAGTAGCAACAAAAATAATTTTATAGTTGGGGTCACCACAACATGAGGAACTATATTAAAGGGTTGCAGCATTAGGAAGGTTGAGAGCCCCATACTAAGCAATAGAAGCTGACAGTCTCAGCTCAGATGGAAGGAAGCTAAGCCCTGAAGAAGACTCTTAGACAAGCCAAACTGCAAAGAAGACTCAGATCAGAGCAGCTGCCTGTTAGAGGCAGAAACCAGAGCTGATCTGCCTGGAAGGTTTAGACCAACCGAGGCACCTGGATAGGACTGTGTCCAACTTGGTGATGGCCTGCAGGCTGCACAATATGCTCCAGGTTCCCAGCTTTGTGAGCTGTCACCCATGCTGGGATGGACTTTGGTGATGCAGCTGTCTTGGAGTCATTTTTCCAAGGTAAGCAACCCCTCACCCAACGTAACCCCAATAAACCTCACTTGTTCACCAAGCTGGACTTTTATAGTATCTATCTGTTGTCGGTTTCCTATCTGATGTGAGTAGATATGTGTGTTGGATACCCTAGGAAATCTTTTGCCACACAATAGTGAATTAATATACACACATATGCTTCCAGTGCTATCTGGGGGAGGGACCAACCATACTCCCTATGATAGACAGACTTTAACAAGGACACCTCCTACAATCCCCGTGTATTGGCATTCATGCCTTTATATAAGACCTTCCAGTTGATTGTGGACAGGAAAAGTGATTTGTGTCTAACTAATAAAATGACAAGGGTGAGGGGTCACCTCACTTCTGAGAGTATGTTTCATTATAGAACACTATCTCACTAGAGGGTTTTGCTTTGAGCAAGCGGCCTTCTCAGGAGGAGGGAGAGAGGCCCATGTGACAAGGAAAAGAAACCAGTTTGTGGCCAAATCAAGATGAGGAAAGTCTACCAACAGTGTCTGTTAGGAGAGCCTCCAGATAAGAACCAGTTTCTCTGACACCCTGATTGCAGTATTATGAAGCCCTAAGCCAAACACCAATTAAGCTATGCCTACAATCTAAGAAATAATAAATAAATAAATGATTTTTTTCAAGCTACTAGATTTATGGTAATATTGTGTAGCAATCACAGATAGTATGACATAATGTCAGCCATGAGTATATGTAGGGCCCAGATTCTGGTTGCTACAAGAAAAACATTATGATGAACCTGGAACATCTGTGGAATCAGAAAGGAATGAAATGATCAGAAGAGTTGTGTGGGAAAATTAATAACTAAGAGATACGGGACTCATGGCAAGAAGGGAAAACTAGAAAGAACAGGAGTTTCTGCCAAAAGATATAGATAACTCCCTGACTGGAGAGTGCAGAGCCCACATGCACGTGCTGTTCTCGGGAAATAAAAGGACAAAGCAGGAACTCAGCACCAACTGTGCAGACATTCTCCCTAGACCCCATTATCTTAAGGACAAGGCCACTGTCCTAGAGAAAGAAAAGCCCCTAACCTTGCAGGTGCGCTAAACAATCCCGCCTTGTAAAAACTTTGTACTCTATGAAATCTCTGTAAACCTTGAAAACCTTATGGGCTGAGACTAGCAGTCTCAAACCTCCCTTTCCCTTTAAAAAGGCTTTGAAGTTGTCAAGCAGGGACCTTATTCTTCCCATAGAGTGAGGTCATAGCCGGTTTGGTTTTTAGCAATAAAACCTTTTGCTTTTGCAGTAGGGAGTCACTTCCTTGGAGGTTGAGGAAACCCGGTAGGCACAACAGAGTGTGAAGTCAGAAGCTAGTCTGAAGGAGCTCCTACTAACAAAATTGGAGTCACTGAAATAATGAAATAAAGATGGACAAAATTGGATTTTCAACAAGAATATAATATGGGGCTATTAGTTCACTTTCACTGTGTGAACGAAAGGCAGTATTTCCTCACAAGCAGTAGAACAGAAAGTCAGTAATGGTCTCATGCATCACATTGGTATTGATTTCAAGCAAAATCTATTAATAAAGACTAAAACCACTAAGAAAAACATTGAGGAATATGATGTATAGACTCAAAGTATCTCCCCCAATCCTTAAGAAAAACATCAAATTTTCATTGCAGAAACCCAGTGGATACCACGGTAGCCAAGAGATCAAGTTTAGCCTTAATATGGCAGTGAAACAGACTAACACAATGAACCCCTGATATGTCTCAACAAGGATACATCCTTCCCATGGAATTAATTAAAAAATGCATAGCCATGGTGTGATCATGAGGACAAGAAGTTAAAAAAAAAACAACCCAAATCTCAATTTAAGAATATTCTACAAAATAACTGACTTGTAATCTTCAAGATGTCATGAGAGAAAAAGAATGACCAGGGAACTAACTGGTGTGATGATGCAGTTAAGGAGAAACAAAAGTTAAACCTAACTAAGGGCTCTGATTAGTACTCTAACGCAGAGGCAGAGAAAGGCCAGTAAGTACATGGAAAGATTCACAACAACATTTTTGTTTGTTTTTCGAGACAGGGTTTCTTTGTAGCTTCAGAGCCTCTCCTGGCACTCACTCTGTAGACCAAGCTGGCCTTGAACTCAAAGAAATCCACCTGCCTTTGTTCCCAAGTGCTGAGATCAAAGGTGTGTGCCACCACTACCCAGCGATGCTCAACAACATTACTCATCAGTACACGGTAAGGTACATCTTCATAAACAGGATAGAATCAAAGAGCTAAACAAGAGATGATAATAAGAAGAAACTGGATTCTAATACACAGTTGGCAGTAATGTAAAACAGTCTAGCACCTTAGATGATTCCAATCCTGGTGTAAACTCAATGAGAAATTAAAACATGATCATGCAAAACTTTACACATGAACTTTCAGACCAATATTATTTATAATAGCAAAAACAAGTGGGGTAAAAATGAAAAAACAAAAGTCAAGTAAAATCACAATAAATGGATAAAGCAAAATTGTAGTCTATTCATACAGAAAAGTACTGGCTAATATAGAAAGGAATGAATACTTGAACAACTACCACAGGGATGAACCCAGAAAACACCGTGCTAACAGAATAAGCTAGTCACAATGACTAGATACAATTATGCTCTTAAATATCCAGAATAAACTATCTACAACTAGGAAGAATGGGAGTACAGGATTTCTTTCTCAGATAAAATGTTCTAAAATTGATTGTGGTAGTGGCTGTTCATACTTGTTAAGAGGGTTTTCTTTGGTGGTATTCAGAATTGAATTCAGGGTCTGGTAAAGAATAGGCAAGGGCTCAGCTATTGAAGTATGAACTGCATCCCTTAGCTGTGAATATTTAAAAACCCATGACTCTATACACTTTAAAATGGGTGAAATATACAATAAGTCCCCCAAAAGGCTATATTGTGAAAACCCTTGGTCCTTTATTTCGTTCCTCTTTCACCCTCCCTTGTAGTACTGCCACCTGCTGATTACTGCTTGAAAATGCCTGTCAAAATCAGGGATTTTATAAAGGAAGCAAACACTGAAATAATGCAAAGGATATTTTGTGATAATTTCTTCTAGCTTATAGAAAATATTTGTATAAAATAGGATTTTTTGAGAATTTTGAGAAAAACCTGATTTTAATCAGATAGGCTACTTGACTTAACCTTAAAAACATGAGTATTTTTTTTTAAACAAAAAAAATGTAAATAGTCATTGGAGTATTTTTATGGCAATCAAGGAAATTTGAATAGATTATTAGCAGACAATAAGAATTCATTGATAATTTTGTGAACTAGCACTTCATGTATGCAGGGCAAGCTACACCTTGGGCTATAACCCTAGTTCTGCCTAATCCTACTGTGGTAACTTTGTTAAGAAATTCAAAAGTGTTTGTGCATATATGCATGTTTGCGTGTGTGTTGTGTAGAGACCAGATGTCAATGTCAAAATGTCTTCCTCAATTGATTCTCTCACTGAACCAGAACTCTCAGATTTGGCTTAACTGGCTGGCTGGCACACTCTGGGGGACCTGCTGTCTTTCTCTCTCCCTCTCCAGTATTGGGAACATAGGTGCATGCTGCCCAGCCTGAGTAGTACATGATTTCTGGGGGGTCTTAACTCATATCCTCATGTGTGTTCAAGCACTCCACTGATTAAACTATCTCTCCAGTCCCAGAAAAGCCGTATTCTTTAAATACAAAAACAGAGGTGTTTTCTGAATGAAACAACGCAGTATCAGAGATTTGCTTTAAAAACACAACAGCTGAATCAAACACAGAACATTGTTGACAACTCCAGAAACTGAGGAAAGGGTAAATTGGGTAGAAGTCTTTCTTTGCTAGTGTATATTTGCAGTTAAAGAAAAAATTGTTTCTCTTTGAGACCAAAGGAAATATAAACCACATTGATTTCTAGGGAGCAATGCAGGAAATAAATGTGGGTAACAGCTATGAAAACAGTGGTTGGTAAATTGTATTCAACAAATATAAAAAAAAAAAAATTATAGCTACCAATTAAAGTTTTAAAAATGACAATAGTAAGATGGAAATTAAATGAAACTAAATTAATTTAAACCAGAGCAAAAAGAAAAAGGAGAAAAGCACAGGTTCACTTTGCTTTCATCTCTACCACGTTCATACTGTGTTATACACTGATATGTTTTAGTGAATGATATTCAGGAGTGTTCAAATACTAATCCAGGCAAAGAGTTTCTCAAAGCATAGTAATACGCCCTGACACACTTGCCTTACGAGGTTCGGCTCCCGAAGGTTGAGAGGGACACACTGTCTTTTCCTTCTTGTCAACTGTGCAGACTGCCCTTCAGATACATTCTCAAGGTTAGCAGTGTTACTGGAAACAGAACTGCTATCCACCAAATCCTGGAATGTTCCTCTATCTACAGAGATTATTTTCACAAATATTTGTTAAAGCATATATAAAGATATGGAAATAACTATGAGGTAAATCACAACAGTTCACCCATCAAAGAGAACACATTTTAAAACTTAAAAATTCAATTTTGAGAGGAAAGGGGGCTTAAATGTAAAATGAACCAATTACCTTACATATGGTTCTCACTGCTATGATAAAGACCATGGTCATAAACAACTTGTAGAAGAACAGGGTTATTTCACTCAGTCTCACTGAAGGAACTCAGAGGCAGGCTCATGCAGAGGTCATGGAGGACTGCTGCTTACTGGCTTGTTCCTCATGGCTTCCTAAGCCTGCTTTCTTATAGAATCTGGGACCACCAGCCCAGGGATGGCACCACCCACAATGGGATGGACACTTCCCATCAATCACTAATCAAGAAAACATCTTACGGATTTGTCTGCAGAAGGCATTTTCCCAATTCAAAGTCCCTCACCCCAACTGACTCCAGCTTGTGTAAAGCTGACACAGAACTAGGAAGGACACCAGTAAAAAAGCCTACAATGTTTTAGCTCTAAAATCACAAAAACTCTTCATGGTTCAACTCATCATATACCTACACTAGTATCTCTGCACTCATTCACACATACAGTTCTGGTTATTCGATGTGCGTAAGTCATGGAGGCAGACAAAGATGAGTTATCCCTCTAACATATCCTACCACCTAGGCTCTTGTAATTCTTTCACCCTGGGTCCCTTTTATCTAGACTAGCCTTAGCCTAAAAATCGTAATGCTCTATAGACACACTGAAACGTTGGTCAGGAGAAAAACTTTTACAAAAAAAAAAAAAAAAAATCTGATGACAAAGAAAATCCTTATGAACTAAACACAAAGGAAGAAGTGGGATAGTTTTATATAACGTATGATTTCAAGTATATATACACATAGATTAAAGTCTGTGTATACATGGTAAATGGTGAGTGACATTCTCAGAGGGTTTTCTTTCCTAATTTTATCTGATTATTTATAATAACTATTATTTTAATAACAAGGGTTAAACAAATGTAAACACTAATGCTTACCTATCCATTAGTCTAAAATGCTACCTACTTGATTATCTTTGTAGTTTCCTCTAACCAAAGGTCTCACTATCTACTCTTAGCTTGATGTCTGCTTTATAAACAACTTTTCACACACTGCATCTGTTAACCATTACATTTATATGCATGTATCCTGAGGAAAAGGAGTTGGTCTTAATGTTGCTCTGATCACATTAAATGTATGCTGCTGGACCAAGCCCCACCTTACAAAATTTGCAGTTGTCTTCTATAGAATAAATTCAATACATTTCCCTATTATATGCATTTTAAAACATTTAATTTCTTTCAAACACATGGAGAGGCATATCTACCTAAAGCCATTATTAAATAACTTTGTAGTAAAGAATAAACCAGGTTTTAGATTTAAATGCCCAAGATAATGTGTTACCTTCTCAATATACAAAATTTTCATTTTTTCTGTTTCTATATAAACAGTCATAAACTGTTTTAAAATTTTCACAAAAATGGCCATTTCAACAGAAAATACAACACTGGTTAAATAAAAAGAATATAATTCTGCTTACCTATCTGCGATGTTTGTGCTCTGCGGCTGCTTTTACGAGTCCTCTCCTTTATCTTTTCTCGAGCATCATCACCTACTTGAAAGATGCACGTACTCTTCAGGGAAGAACTTTCTTCCATCATCAGATTTTTACTGGAAGAAATACTCAAAGGTACTGAACTCTCACACATATCGTCCAAGGAAGAATTCTTTATGTTAGAGGAATATATCTGAGATAAAGGGTTTAATACCTTTGTGCAAAAGTCTGATTTACTCTTGGCAATTTTATCATTCTCCAAATAGTTTTCCTTATCAATCTGTTGTGTGTGGTCAGTGTTGGACGTTATCTCCACCACCCCAGGGGTATCTGAAAAAAGATCTAGGGAGGTCTTTCTTTTCTTTGATTTGGATGTCAATTTTTTAACTTTTTTGGCTGGGCAGCTTTTTCCTGTTACCACACCCATGGAGAAGGCATCTTCCAGTGTGCTCACAGTGCTTGGTTTCTGGCTCTTTGAAAGGTAAGTCGGTTCTCCAGGACCAGAATCTGTTTCCTTAGTGTCATGGTGTATTCCAGATTCTAAGGTGACAGACTTCTGTGAAGAATCTGTTAACTGCAAAATATGTCTGTTCTTATCACCAGTCAAAATGTTTTTGGCTCCACTGGGTAGTTTTGTCCTGTGTTTCTTAACTAGTACACAAGCATCTGGAATTGGATCACACTTTTCCTCTCTATTACTATTGATTTCTCCATAGTAACTCATAACATCTTGATTTTTGATACAGCTTTTAAAGCCATTCATATCTTCATTAATATTCTCATGTATTTGGTTAATTTGAGAAACAATTTCTGATTTATTAACATTCTGACAGAGCTTCTTATTTAATGGGTCATTTACACTTTCTCCATCATTTTCATGTATTTGGTTGGCTTTAGAAATTATTTCTGTCTTTCGATGTACCTTTTGTCTAGGCTTCTTATCTACTTTTAAATCATTGTGACAAGCAGGTTGCATATTGTCATCCTTCCTCAACCCCAGGAGCGTCTGAATCTTATAATCACATAGCTTTTCACTATCTTTGTTACAAATGGCAGGCATTTGTAACTTACTTAAGTCTTTCAAGGTTCCGGGGATGTCCTTATCCTTTTCAAGTAAGAAAGACTCATCCTTTTCTGAACAATAAACACCCCTGTCATTACTACAATGATTCACTACAGAGATTATCTCTGTCTTGCGATTTACCTTCTTCCTAGGGATCTTGCTAATTTGGGACTCATTTTGAGCAGGGTGGATACTAGTGATCTGCTTGTGCAAATCCAGAATATTCTGGGTCTTACAGTCATCTAAGTTTTCGTTGTTTCTTGTGAAAAGTGTAGGTGTTTCAAACTCTTTTGTAGTTTCTGTGTTTCCATAAGTGGTCTCTTTATTTGCTTGGGTTTGGAGGGGAAAGTTATCCTTTTCTAGAACACAAATATCTTTATCATTATCCTCATATAATTGGTTCATACTAGAAATTATTTTTGTCCTCCGATTTATTTTCTGCTTAGGCTTATTTCTTTTTGATTGATTTTGCTGAGCACTGACATACTTTGTCAAGTCCAACATACTCTGGGTCTCATAGTCACATACATTTTCATTATCTTTGGTGGAAACATTAGCTATATGAAATTCATTTGCAACTTCAAGGTTTTCATAACTGGTCTCTTCATCCTTTTGGTTTGGAAATAAGTTATCCTTTTCTGACTTATGAATTACAAATGTCTGTCGAGAAGGCTTATTTATATTACAATGTAGGATGTTCTGACACTGATCAAATTTGCTATCTTGAAGGGGTTTGACTGCACTCTGAGAGAAAGGGTGTGTTTCTTCTTGCTCTCCTGTCCTATGTGTTCGCTTCCTCTTTGTACTTTGAAGGTTCTCTTGATCCCAGCTGCTCTGGAGGGAGATTTTATTCAGCACGGTTGGCTGAGGAGGCTGTTCAGTACTGGAAATACAATTAGGATCTTCTGAGTCCCCTTTGCCATCTAGGACCACAGAGTCTCTTTCTGGTCTGCTTTCCATTTTCTCCTCAGCACCCACTTCTGAACTACCTTTACAGTTCCTCTTTGATCTTTCTCTCTTTTTTATAGAGCTCGGATCTTTTACTTTTCTGAAAGTTTCCTTTCCACGATCGGTCTTTTTCTTACTTTGATTTTTATTGCTTTTTGAAATAGTAATGATTTTGCTTATTTCGCCAGCAGTTAAATCCATGTCAATGTTTTCGTACACAGTCTTTTGCAACTGAAAGTCATCAGTCTTTTGCAATGTCTCTATGTGCTTTCCATTAGGGTTGCTGGCAGACTCACAAGGCAAGTCAAGAAAACACTGTATATTTTTTTGCAGATTACTTCTGGTTTCACTAGTACAATCACTTATCTTATTATTCCAATTAAATCCTGGACTTGAAATCTGTTGGTAATCTAAGTCTGTCACACACAGATTATTTGCAGAAGATCCACGCTTCCTTCTGTCAGTCACATTATTAAGTGATGGTTTTTCCCCTCTGAAGGGGGATGGGGCAGTTTTCATCTCACTCAGAGAAGTCTTAGGACTTTGATCTGAGTCATCACAGCTTTCTGCAAAATAAATAGAAAATAAGCATAAACTACAGTAAACAAAACATGCTTAGCTATTTCAGAGAGGATTTCTGATAATCTGTTCTCAGATCCTTATAGCATTCAGAATTCATGCTGATAAAAATTAGTCTCCTTTTCAGAGTTACTGCTATCATTTGAGTTCACTGATCTCCTTTAGCTCTAGAAGCAGTAATGGCTCCATTGCTGGATATACTTCATTTTAATCTGGGGGGAGGCTGAGTGAATGCTCAGTAGTATGTATTTTCCATAGATCCAGATGTAAAACGTGACATGTGAATACTCCAATTATTCGAATTAATTTTTGTCAGCATGGCTGTGGAAAGGAAAACTACCACACTCTAAGCCTAACAGTTAGGGCTCCATATTCCAGTCTGAAAATCTAACAAATCTGTAAGCACTGTAGATTATAGCATGGGATCACCAATCTGGAAGATCATGTAAATGAGATGTATCAGCATATTTTCTCACTAAGTCATTACTCCAGCTCATGAACACTATCAGGTTCGTTTCTGTTACTCTGATAAAATAAACAGACAATAGCACTTTAAGGGCAAGTTTACTTGGCTCACAACTCTGGGTTACAGTCTATCAATGTCAGGAAACCAAAGAAATAGCAGGGACTAGAAGCAGATAGTTACATCCATATTCAAGATAGGAGAGCAATGAATGACACATGCTTGTACTTAGTTTGCCTGCTCCACTCTTACAGTCAAGGATCTCCTACCTAGGGAATGGTGCCACCCACAGGGAGCAAGTCTTCCCAATTCAATTCAATCAAGATAATCCTCTACAACACACCCACAGACAAACCTAATCTAGACAATCTCTCACTGAGATTCTGTTTCCAGGGATTCTAGACTATGTCCAGTTGACAATTGAAACTAACCAACATAATCACTAACTGGTTATGATTTTGAAAAAGTCAGTATATCCATCTAGACCCCCACTTTTCATATCCATGAATGTAATAGTATTTTTCAAATCACAAACTAAACAGAAGGGAAGTCTTAGTCCTGTTCATTTTTGAGGATTACTTCTAAACTAACAGTATTAGGTCCCTGTGGATATTTACTTCAAGTTGAAATTTTCACCAGTCATTTTAAATGGCAGAACTTAGCAAGTACAGTTAGTAATACAAGAGACCTATCTGTGATAGTTTGAATTATATGGCCCCTATAATCTCATAGGGCATGACACTCTTAGAAGGTGTTGCCTTGTTAGAAGAAGTGTGTCACTATGGGGATGGGCTCTGAGGTTTCCTATGCTCAAGATACTGCCCAGTGACACAGTTCCCTTCCTGTTACCTGCAAGATGTAGAACTCTCAACTACTTCTCCAGCACCATGTCTGTCTGCACACTGCCATACTCCCTGCCATAATAGACTAAACCTCTGAAACTGTAAGCAAGCCACCCCAAGGAAATGTTTTCCTTTATCAGAGACCCCTTAGTCATAGTGTCTCTTCACAGCTATAGAAACCTTAACTAAGATATTAACTCATGACATTGTTGCCCTCAGGAAAATCTGATGAACAATTTACAGAACATCTTTTAAAACAATTCTACCTTTAGGGAGTACATCAACACCAGAAGTAGGTTCTGAATAATCTGAGCCACATGTATTCTGGTTCTCTTCCTTATGAAGTAATACTTCCCAATTGCACTGGTGTAAGGTCGAGGATTGCCTTGATCCCGAAGAGGTGATATCAGCTGATGTCTTTGAGGTAATTCTGTTGTTACATTTTATTTTCCATTTATCGCCATCATCATCACCATCATCATCATCATCATTTTCTGAAGATAAGGGAACCCTAAAGGCATGTGAGAATGAAATGAGAAACCCTGTATTTTAAAAACATATGTATAAAAGGATATCATTATACATATACCAATAATCCGACCATTTAGAAAAAATGTAAAAATTATTTGAAGGAAAAGTAAAAACTTGAAAGGCAAAACATGGGAATTATTAAATAAATGGGATACCAGCTGGAGGGACAGCCTAGCAGTCAAGAACATGTCTCTTCCGAAGGACCCAAGTTTGGTTCTTACCACCCATACTGGGCAGCTCACAACTACTCATAACTCAACTCCAGAAGGATTCCCCTTTAGTCTCCATTAGCATCTGCACTCATACACATAATTAAAGATAAGAAAAGTATTTTAAAAAGAAATGAGATGCTATCAAAATTTCTCTGCATGAAAACTATAGGCATAGATAACTTTTTTCAAGCTCTTACAGATATACTTATAGAAAACAGAAAAGAACTTAATCAACATAATCAAAATACCTAACCCTGAAAAATAACTGCAATAAAAGAAAATTATGAATAATTTTCATTGTAACATACATGCAAAACACCTTTAAAACAACAAACATGATTTTTTGATACAGAAAAGGAATGCAATAGTAGTTAATATTCAGAAATAGATCACTAAGAGATATGGCCCTGCAGGTGAAATATGTGCCATGAAAAGCCTGATGACCTGAGTTCAATCCTAGGACTCACATAGAAGCAGACTCCACAAAGTTTTCCTCTGAACCCCACAGATAGAGCATACATGTGTACCCCCACACACGTGTACAAATACATCACTAATAATAACAGACGAATCACTGTATTTCATTATATGAATAGAAAAACATTAAAAATTCATTGCACTAACAGAGAAAAGTAGTCTTTTCCACAGCAACAGGAAAAACACTCGATTAACTCAACAGCTCATGAAGAAACCCTCAGCAATTAGCAACACAGGAATCTTAAGTTGTGTTTTGCTTTTTCTGAGACAGTCATATTGTGTAGTCTAGCTGCACTTGATTCATTATAATTTGACTCTTTAGATGATTGAGAAATAAAAAAAAAAAAAAAATGGAAGAATCTTTTAAAGAAAAGTTAAAAACCTGACCAAGAAATAGCACATCTTATTTTTAGTAAGAGAAATGGGATATTACCAAAAACTTTTTAAAAACAACAACAAAAATTTTAGGCTTTTGTCCAGATAGATAGTACATTTTATAAAAAGTGGTTGCCATGCAAATGTGAGGATCTGAGTTTGATTCCTAAGACCCATGGTGGAAGGCAAGAAATGACCATTAAAATTGTACAAAATCTATGGCGCACAGGCAGCTACACATACACACACTTTGTAAAGAACTGTTCATCTAAATATCCCAAGGAAACAAAAAACAAACAAAAACACAAGCCAGAAAGTAGAAAGTATTTGCTAGATACAAAGCAATAAATAAATACAACACAAATAACACTCATAAACAAATTCTTAAACTTTCTTTTGGGAAGTAAAAATGAAAACTTGAATTTAATACCACTATACAGTGAGGATATAGGACAGGAATACTCACACACTGATACTAGGAGCACACTCTAGAAACTGTTTGATAAGGCTCCCCTAAAGCCACATATACATCTCCAATAATTCTGCTCCTTGGTAAGTAGGTAAATAGAATGTACATTTATTCACCAAGCAGGAGATATCTATATATCTGTATATGGTGGCCTTATTTGTAACAGATCAAAATTAGAAAATCAGCAGGATAGCAGAAGATTGAACATGCAGTGGAATGCTGTGCAGCAATGAGGGTGGCTTATAGCTACAAAGTAGATAACTTTTACAAATATACAAGCATTTAAAAGTATTTTTTCAGTCATTAGAGAAATTCCAAAAATCATACAAAATTAATCTATTACATTTTAAGGTCAGAATCCTTGGGTAGGCAGGCACTGGATGATGATCAGAGAGGAAGCAAAAGCAAATGGGATATCTGAGATCACTAATAACATTTTTTTCTTTGAGGTCTTGGGTATGATCATATAATGCTGTTCACTTGTGAAAACCTGCCTTTAATACGTATATAATATTTTCTATAAGGCAAGTAAACATATTTGACTGTGGTTTTCTGGTTTATTTACTGAGACAACTTGGCCTGGAACCTATTATATAGCCCAGGTTGGCCTCAAATTTATAGAGATTGTACTGCTTCACCCTCCCAAGTGCTGGGATTACAGGTATATACCACTATATCTGGCTGTATCTGAATGTTATTTGAAACAATAAATGCATGACAGCCAATCTATTCTTAAAAAATAAAGGCACAAGATAATATAATTTACTATGTTAAAAATACACTAATAAAATGTATTTTATTACATTTTAATAGATAAATCAACAGAATAAACTAGCAAAAATAGAAAGTGACTTGACAAGATGATTTTTTTTCTCCTGTAGTATTTCTTATCTAAATGCCTCTATATGTTTCATGGTTTTACTACAATGCAAAGATTCCCCCTTAACCAAACCACTCAATGGACAACTAAAATTACTACTAATGCTTTTTGAAGTCACCTTCTAATTTTCTGCTATGCATAGGAATAGAACACAAGCATATACCCACATACATGTAAATCTTTACACTCAGGCAATTCATGCCTACATATGCATGGTGTAATATACAGAATTTATAATACTTAAACACAAAAACATTCTCTCAGCCTCAATGCTTACTGTTTATTATGTCATGTTTGAAACTGGGTACTTTGATGACTTGTAACCAAATAATCAAAAAAGAAGGAGAGAGACTTTAGATAAGAGAATAGCCAAAATCAGAGTTAATCGTACAGGTTAGAGCAGTACAGTATACATGGTGGTAAAAATGGAAAGAGTTATTAAATTTGCTCAGAAGACAAAAAACAAACAAAACAAAAAACAAAGAGGCCAGAAGGAAAGTAATTAAAGGTAGCAACTACTACAGATGAACTTAAGCTTATCTGTATTTGAGGACAGTTTCCTCAGAGTCCTGAAGACCCAGCCTAAACAAGACACCATACACAATTCCCACTTCCACCTCAGTAGCCCCGCTACAGGCTGACCAGGAGAACCCTGACAGTGTTTTATAAAGTCTGTGCTCTAAGCCAGTGTCATTCTAGCCCAGGTATAAAGGTACACTATGCTGAAGTTTAAAATAGCAGTCTATGAAAATGTCTAATTCAACAAAGCAATGTTACTACTTATAAGTTATTTATCTATAATTGTTTTTCCGATTTAGGATGCAAGTAAATAAAACCAGTCAAAAGCCCATCTTCTAAAGCAAAAATATAAGTCAGCATTTAACTATGTTTGAAATAATTACCTTGCAAATGGAAGATGCACAGACTTGCCTTGTTTACTGATCCTCTTGCTAGCTGACAGGAGAAAAGAACTGTGATGGAACTATTTTTGAATAAAAAAAAGAAAATGGTAAGAAATGATCTATCATATCAGTCTTGTCATTAAAATAGCAAACTATACCAGGATGCCAACAGAACAAAACAACTCTTGCACTGTGATGTGTGTTGCTGTGGATTAACTCAGGACCCTGTGCATGCCAGCTAACTATTCCACTAAGTTAGCCAGTCTTTAGCCTTTAATAGCTGAATAAGTATAGTATAATAAGATTAACTTTCCAATGATAACTATTCTTGGCATTTTTGTTAAACAATCTTCTAAACTTCCTATAAATAGAAATACAAATGTATATGTATAAACTCCTACATACACAGACATACATATGTACATACACACAAGATAATTATAGCTACATACAAAATGTCTTCATGTCTGTTACATATGTGTTATGTAGCATGGAAACAGACATTCAGGAGTTACAGTAATTTTAAAAAAGACTGGTGAAATTAGTTAGTGGAAATGAGTATAGATAGCAAAGAGAAATCTAAGAACTGAGTCTTGGACACTCTGAAATCTTAGGGAAGGAAACCAAAAAACAGGTTGAAAGAACGGGCAGAAAGGTGAGGAAAGATCTTGGGGAGTGCAGTATGCTGAAAGTCCCAAGATCAGTCTAAGGACCAACAACTGCTTATAAGGCTCCTACCACTGCTCTCTTTCTGAAGAGCCACAGTGATGTAGAAGCCATAGGTGTGATTCAAAGAAAGGAACATGGGAACAACTTTCTCACAAAGTAAAACAGACAGCAGCTGAGAAGTGGAACATGTCTTTTCTTGTTGCTTTCAAGAAGAGTTAGAATAAGCTTTTTGCATACTGATGCAAAATAATCCAGAAAAAAAAAATTAATGATACATGAGAGAAAAGAATTCTACACTGACATCAAGGCAACAGCAAAAGACAACCTATGTGTCTATCAATAGGAGAAAGCCAAGTGGGGAGTGGATGAAGTCCTTAGAGAATGTATATTACTGACACAAAGGACAATGCCTCAGCCCAGGCCTCCCCTAAGCCAGGCTAAGAACAATGGCAAAGCTTTCCCTGATTCCAGTATGAATGTTGATACAGTTTACTTCTACCTAAAACCAGTGTACACAGAAAGTACCAACTGTCTAGGATGATTGATCACCTACAAACCTACCTGCATTAGCTAACCTGCCTCCTCATGTTTCTGGGTTGCTGGTGGTATATCTCCATCAGCATGCATAGTCCACCTGATTCCAGCTTTTTACTTTTTGTGTCTGTTGTTTCTTCATTCTCAGTCATTCTAGTTAAATCAGTCCCTAAGCCACTGTAGCATAAAGGTACTTGCCAAGAATGCCTAATAACCCGAGTCCAACCCCTGGAACCATATTAAGGTAGAAAGAGAGAATCAACTACACAAAGTTTTTTCTGACCTCCATACGTACAACAAGACTTGAAAAAGAAGTAGTTATTTTGGTTTTGCAGAACGGTTCAGCAGGCATTTGTACACAGATGACCTAAGTTCAAGACCATATCTCACAGATGGTGAAAGAAACAACTCCTGAGAGTTGTTCTGACTTCCACAACCCATCATGACATGTGGGCACCCACCCATATCCATACCCACGAAATAACGAATAAAACTTTAAAAATGAGGGTAAAAGACAGAAGTGGGTATGAGACTTCATCCTGTGTTCTGAACTATTGTTCAGAGTTAGGACGTCTGTACGTCCCTTTATCCTCCTGTCAGTAACAACTACAAATGAGAAAGGCAATTCAATGCTTGTCTGTTGGATAACAATTCCAAGAAAGCGGGCAGCAAAATCCCAAGCTCATCTTCATCCTCTCCCTTCTCTTCCTACCCACTCCCCACTCTCCCTCTTCCTTCTAGTCACAGCTGTCCTTGAGTTCACCAAAAGAAAACAAAACCCTCTGGGAACAGTGCTTTTACAAAACATTTTAAAAGACCAATGACAAGGCTTGTCTCATAATTCACAACAATTAGCTAAGCAGTGCTCCTGGGACCAGTTTCTTCCACACCTCACATTTCTTTAACTTTTCCAAGTAAATTCCTATACTGATTCTGTATGTCTGTCTGTTGTTTGTTTTATGTAATCATCTAGGATTTATCCTAGAGACTGATAGACATTTTCAATTTGTCTTATTTTAAAATAAATTCTTTTCTAACTTGAAATGCTACCTTTCTACTAACACTTTGTTTCTAAATCTGTTTGGTGGGTCACTATATTCCAAAGAACAGTTTAATCTATTACTTTAAATCAGAATTTGATTTTAATGAAATAATTTCAATAGCCAAAAATAAAAATGATGTATTATATATGATTACTATTATTTATTTGGACATTTGAAGCTCTAACCTTGATGGAATTTAATTACTCTTACCTATTTTTAGTAATGCTACACAATGGCCCTATCCACATGAATCCACTTACCTCAGAAAGAGTGCTCATTTCAATTGCAGTTATCAAATTATTGTTCACAAGTGATTCTATTTCTATAAGCTTCTTATTCTATGGATATAAAATAAACATTTATTTTAATTAAGATTTGGAGTTTGTTATAATGATACCAAACATTTATGGATAGCATCAGTGTAAGAAAACTGTTTTTAAAAACTGTTTTTATTCTCATTTTTTAAGACAAGGTCTCACACTGTAACCCAGGCTGGTCTAGAATTAACTACATAGCAGAGACTGGCTTTGAATTCAAGGCAAACCTGCTTCAGCTTCCAAGCTACTGGATTCAGACTTGAAATCATACCTGGTGACTGTTTTCAACTGAGATCACATTAAGCTCAAAGTATCTCTAAGACAGTCAAAATGCCATTTTGGATATCCACTTTAAACTAATTTCTGATATCAATTTTTTTTTATAATATGATACTATATTACGGTCATTTCCACTTTAAACTAATTTCTATTCATTTTACCTAAAACTACAATTACAACTTAGCCAGATACTAGCTCTCATCACTCTCTCTGTAGTTGGAGGTTGGAAGAAAGAACAAAGGACTACAATCTCCATTCTATTTGGCTTGTAGTCAATGAAATGCAAGATTAAAAAAGAAGAGAATGTTGGGTGGTGGTAGTGCACGCCTCTAATCCCAGCACTTGGGAGGCAGAGAAAAAAAAAATGGGTCTCTGGGTTCAAGACCAGCCTGGTCTACAGATCCAGTTCCAGGACAGACTCTAATATACTACAGAGAAACCCTATCTCAAAAAAAAAAAAAAAAAAAAAAAAAAAAGAGAGAGAGAGAGAGAGAGAGAGAGAGAGAGAGAGAGAGAGAACAGAAATACTGTGGGAACTTCCTCTTCAATTCATTAGAGAAATTATGCTCACCATGAAAAAAACATATGAATGGGCCAAATTTTGTTTACAGGGAGCAATTAAATGTTGATCACAGTATTATGCTGGCATGTAGGACACACAGCATGCATTTAGAATAAAATTTAAGATGTCTATTCTATTATAAAGAAGTGCCTGTCTTTTAGCATAGACTTCCATGGCATATTGACTTTCAATAATTCTCTACAATTAAACTAAATTAAATTAAAACAAAACAAAAAAACATTTTTAGCATTTCTATAGTAACGTAGTAGAGGCCAAAACAACACAATTTCCATACCAAGTTATTTAGCTTTAGGCGAAGAAAGGTATTCTCAAAATTCAGTTTTTCTACTTCTTTTTGCAATAGCATCTTTTCGGTAGTAATTCTTCGAGAATTCTCTTTCTCTCGACTTAGAGCCTGAGCTAATGCTCTGTTGTTATGCTTTAGGGAGATCTTGAAAATAGAAGAATTGTCTGCAAAAGTATTTTTAAAAAGTTAATATTAAAATGTACTTTATATTTCTTTAATAAAATTTCACACTCCTTAGTAAAATAATTTCAGGGAAAAAAATCAATTTACTTTATAAATTTCAAGTGATGGTTGGAAAAGAATGGCAATACAAGTATAGTCTTAGAGAAAATAAAATATACCCAGAGTTTGAAGCTGAAGAAACAAAAGCTAGAGAGATGAAGAGCTGAGGCATACAGCTGGGAAGAAGGGAGTGGTGGTATTGCAGGCAGCAGTTACAAGGGGGCTGGGATGCTGCCATCTGCTCCACTTTCCCACCTTGACTAGAAGCAGGGTGGGAAGCCGACCTCACAGCTCTCCCTGAAGACCCACGGGAGCTAGGGCAGCTGACCTGAAATGTTTGGTTTCCACAGCTCTATAAAACCATCTATGCTCCCAAACTCCATTTAACCCTCAAACAAAAGGACTGATTGTTTGGGACTACTAGTAATCGACTACAATCTCAAATTGACCTTTTTTTATTGAAAAGAAATATGTCAACATGCGTTAAACTATTACTGACATGGTAGCAAAGACATTCAGTGAGGATTTAATGCTTATATTCACCGTAAAAGTATTACGTTCTTTAGTATAGTTAAGTCATAATTACATTTTCATAATTTGGATTTAGATTCTACTACATGCCAATAGCCTACCCACTCCACAGTTTAATACACACACAAACTGTTGAGACAAAAATCTTGCTATATAGTCAAGAGCCTTCCTTACAATTGGGATCCCCTGCCTCAGTCTCTTGTGTACTGGAATTACAGGCAGAAACCAACATATCTCACTAAAATAAGTTCTGTTAAATATAACCTTTTTAGATATTCAGAGAAAGTCTGGAAATCTGAAAAGAAAAAACTCCATAGCAGGACTATCTTTAGCACAAAGTAGTCCCACTCAGAGATCCTTGGCATACCCAAGAGAAACACCACAACTGGTAGATTTCCAGAAGCTAAAAAGAACATTTTCCTGCTGTTTTCCAAATGGCCTTGACAAATGAAGAGGAAATGGTCATTGCAGGGTGGATGACTAATTCACAAGGTTTACCTGCAGATGCTGATAGGAGAATGTCATGATTTAAAGATACTTGGGAGTCTTGGCTCTGTTGATAAATTATGAGTGTGATATCAGCAGGAAATGTCACTATGGAGTCATTCCCCAATTTAGTCAACATAGGTATAAACCATTGACATAATCTATGGGAACAATAAAAGTTTATCCTGGGGAGTTTGCCACCTATTTTTGTTGTTGTTGTTCGTTTGTTTGTTTCTTGTGGGTGGGGACACAAGGGTTATTTTTATAGAAATCATGAACTACCACACCTCATCTTGGCCAAACACATCTAGATTACTTATTATCTGCCATGGCACATGCCAAGTCAAATCTTTCACTCTTTTAGCTCTTTTGCAGAAAGCCATGCTAGTACTGTCTTTGCAGGCTAAGAGGCAGCTGTATGGGGACACCCCAATCATGCTGCTTACAATTCAGCCATCACCAAGGTAAATGAGTAATTCCATTCAGTGGAGGAGCTAAAAAATAATAAAGATCAAATGGAAAAAGTACCAATTAACTTTGCTATAGTTGTTAAAATAAGGTAGCGAATGAATCAGTTCTTCAGAGGTAAAAGATAAGTGAAGCTTAAAATGAATGGTACTTACTTAATATTTTTGTTTTGATTTTTGAAGCAAGAGAAACATTCAACTTTGTCTTTCCAATTCTGTCTTTCACTCGTCTCTTAATTCCTGAGGTAACAGAGCCAACTTCCATCACTGGGTACTCCATCACTAAAGTGAAAGGAAAAGAAAGGATGGGGGAGGGGAGGAGAGACTATAGTACTGATTAATAAGAGTAAAATAAAAGTAAACTGATACATTCTAAAAAACAACCACCATGACTTAAAATAAACTATGTACATAAATATTTGCAAAGTCCTTTGTATAAAAACTGAAAATAGGAATTTATATAATCAAGAGAAATAGTGAGTAAACTCCAAAAAGGTAAATAGTTTGTTTTTCCATTCAGACCTGTATTATATGCCTGGCAGACCTATGGGCTTGGGGTAGGTGACAGAATAGGGCCCCTGCTATTATGGAAGGAATAATCCAGGGTGAAAAGACACTGTTCTGCTACTATGAAAAAGTATTACCTTAGACAGGCAAGAGGGCTTAATGGGAGCACAAAAGAAACAACTGACCCAAGGAGCAGTAAGGGGCTGGAAGAATAGACAGAAAATTACAAGTGTGTCTACTACATTTATGGTCTCTAAGTTTACAATACAATATAAACAGGAGGATAAGCAATGATACAATATGACAAGAATAATGACTCTAACACACAAGATATTAGAGAAGTGGTTAGTGCTGCCTGGGCAGAGAAAACCCTGAGATGGAGGTGAGGCTGGGCTGTGTGTTTGAAAGGGGCCAACCTCCCAAACCTCCATTGCCTGCACAAGCCTCCCTGCTTCCTCCTGCACCCACCTACCTCAGACACTCAGCTGCTCCACTGCTGCCTGCCTTGAGTCCACAGAACCCCACTGTTCTTTTAATGTTTATCACAAGAATCCCTCCATCCCCACCATCCCTAGCTTCCCCATTCTATTCTCCTCCAAAATCGGTCCAATAGCAGGCTGGAAAACAACCAAGTCAGGTACCTGCAATTCCCAATCTGTGTCTAGCATGCAGATTTAAGAATCCAGTGATGAGATTCTCACTCAAAGAGATATGCCTAATACCACCACAAGCATCTTCACAAAGAACAGAGATTAGAGCAATGCTGCCACAACTCTTTGCTCAAATGTCACTCTTACTGAGCCTTCCAAGTTCAAAATAATTCACCATCTCTCTTCTCCTACCGAAGTAAGCTCACTGGGGGCACAGATTTCTGTCAAATTTGTCGGCTGCTGAACTCTTTGTGCCTGGCACATAGCAGCTCCTTGGATGACAGAAATGAATATGGACAAACGGAAGAACTTTTCAGTAAAAAAAAAAAAAAAAATCTGTTCAATGTTGAAATGGTCATGTTTGAAAAGCAATGAGCAGAGGTTGGAAGTTGTCAGCAAATAATTGGGAAGATGGCTTGGGGGATGTCTGCAATAGGGAAGAAATCCACAGCAATGTTTCAACATTAAAGCTCAACTCTTCTGAAGTTTTGGCCAAAAGAAAATACAAAACAGCAGGGAAACAGGTAGGCTGACTGCTGAAAATTTCCCTAACCTAAAGGAGATGCCTATCAAGGTACAAGAAGCATATAGAGCCCCAGATAGACTGGATCAGAAAAGAAAGTCCCCTTGGCTCATAATAATCAAAGCACTAAACATACAGAATAAAGAAGGAATATTAGGAGATGCAAGGGGAAAAGGCCAAGAAACACATAAAGGCAGACAGACCCATTAGAATTACACCTGATTGCTCAATGGAGACTCTGAAAGCCAGAAGGGACTGACAGATGTCCTGCAGACGCTAAGAGACCAAGGATGCCAGCCCAGACTACCATACCCAATAAAACTTTCAATCACTATTGGTAGAAAAAATAAGATTTTACATGATAAAATCCAAATTTCAGCAAATTTGCAAATAAATACAGCTCTACATACTTGAAGGAAACACCAACCAAAAGAGGTTAAGTACACCCAAAAGAACACACAGGCAATACATAACCTCAGACCAGAAAGTATAAAATCAAAGGTGATTACTATCCTGTAGACGGCAGACTATAAAAGCACATAGCAATAAATTGTTACCTCTAACACACTCATAAGAGAACCGAATATAAAAACCAAGTCTGTCTTTCAAATACTTCAACCCCCACCCCCCAAAAAATTACATTTCAGCTTAACTTCCCTTCCCAATTAGCTGATTCTGACACAGTCCCTTAATTTAATAAATGGCGCTGTCGCCCATTCAAATGCTAGTGTTAGAAACTAGAGTCCTCCTTAACGGCCCAGTCACCTCCTACATCAATGACTTCACCAAGCGGCATTAAGAGAAGCCACAACTAGGCCCCTTGGGGTATGGCTCCAGAGTGAGTTACGGCATAGATGCCAAAACATTACAGATGCTGGTTCCGACTGTTTAACATCTTATCCATCCCCAAGTACAGCAAGTTACAGGAAATAAGGCTAAGTCCCCGATAGGAACTGAGCTAATGGCTGCGCTCTGGGCACTGCGCTATCTGGTCCGCACTCAGGATTCCTTCGTCATTACTATGCAACTCTGCTCCAGTCAGTGTCACAGCTCTAAAAACGAAATCCCACCGCCCGTTCTCCTGAATTAGAATCCTTCATCTAGCCAAGCTCTGGGTTCTCTCTTGTAGGCAGGAGGTACGGGAGCTCTCAGAGCGCAAGCAGACCGGTCACGGGGATCCCGGTCCCTTCCCTCGGGGCACTGACCTGAAAACAGCTGGAGGCTCGACCGGTTGCCCAGCCGGGAACTCAGAGGCCGATCAGAGGTTACCGCCCGGATCCCAGCCGGCTCTCCAGACTCTGCGAGCCGCCGCGCTGAGGTGAGGACAGGGGCGCCGAGGGGACCGGCCAGCCTCACCGGCGCCGACTCAGCGCCCGGTCGGCTTCGGGGACCAACACACGCCGGGGAAGCTCTACACTCCACCCACACCCGGACTCGGGTTTGTTTAAACTTCGCGGCGGTTAGCGGTTGACGAAACAGCCAATCGGATCCCGAGAAGGCGGCTCAAAGGCGCGCTGTTACCCGGAAATGGAAGACGGAAGGGGCGGGGCGTGATGGGGGAGAGCCAAGTGGGCGTGGCTCGGCGAGCCGGGGGGTGGGGGTGATAACCGCCTGCGGGAAGAGGGCAGCCTGAGTCTAGGAGCTCCTTGTAGGCTTTCGCGGGAACTCTAGTGGGGAAAAAATTCACCGCCGATCGGTCTGCTAACCGAAAGGTTGACCGGCACCTCGGTCTTTCTCAGGGCTTGTGCTTACTTGCTTGTGTCCAGTGTTCTGCGTCTTGGCCTTTCAAAGATGATCCCCTGCTCCTAAAAGCCTTTCTCATTTTGTGCTGGGAAGACCGGCGGTGATACTCCATTTTAACAGAGTACATAGGCTGGCATTTTAAACTATCACAACTATATTTCAAAATGTGTTGTCTCTTTATTTTCCAAGTCAGTTTGGTTCCTTTCACAAATTATTAATGATGTATGTGAAGAATTTAGAGAAACTATAAAAATAACTTTTGTTCTATTCTATCATATTAAAAATACAATACAGACCTGGAGAGATGGCTCAGAGCTTATAAGCATTTGTTGATCTTGCAAAGGACCCAGTTTGGTTCCCTGCACCCATATGGTGGCTCACAACCCTCTATAACTCCGGTTCCAGTGGATCTGACACCCTCTTCTAGCCTCTGCAGGCACCAGATAACACATGTGGTGCACATACATACTAATACATTAAAAGTAAAATAATAAATCTTACCCCCAAAAAATAACTTTAAAATATCTTGTCATTTAATTTACTGTAAGTTAATGGGGTCAACTTCATGTTTTGACATTTTTTGGTCATTTGAGGACATCTGAACATTATTAAGACTTCGGGGGCTGGAGAGATGGCTCAGAGGTTAAGAGTACTGGCTGATTTTCCAGAGGTCCTGAGTTCAATTCCCAGCAACCACATGGTAGCCCACAACCATCCATAATGAGATATGGTGTCCTTTTCTGGCATGCAGGTAGAGCACTGTGTACATGTGTACAATAATCAATAAGCAAATCTTAAAAAAAAAAGACTTTGCATCTTAAAGAGTCTATGGAATGGCAGCTTGCTTTATGCATACCTTTTTTTGGGGGGCGGGAGATATGTAAATGTCTTTCAAAATAAATTTACAAAACAAAATGCAAAGAAAAATGATAAAACAATTGAAAGCCATTTGACCAAATTTGGGAGTAACAGTGAATAAAGCCTAGATATAGAGAAGAAAACTTTACATAAGTACCAATTAGTTTGTTTAATTGCTGTATATTCATTGCACATAGTGCCAGGCTTCATGATGACAAATTTAGGTGTATTATTCAACCCCTGTCCCATTAGCTTTATTCTTCCCCTTCCTTTTCATCTCCCATTTTCTTCCCTTCTCCTGGTTTTCCTTATGCTTTCATGTCATGTATGTGTGTGTAAATGGCTTTATGTATCTATAAAGAATTCTAGTACCTACAAATGAGAAAAGTGTGATGTTCACCTTCCTGTGTCTGACTCATTTTTTTTAAATATGTTGATCTCCAGTTGGATCCATTTAGGAAAACACTGGGGAAACATTTCAAGATATAGGCACAGACAAGAACTTGTTTGTTTGTTTTGTTTTTAAAACCAGGGTTTCTCTGTGTAACAACCCTAGATGTTCTGGAGCTCATTCTGTAGACCAGACCAGGCTAGTCTCAAACTCACAGAGATCCACCCGCCTAGCCTCCCGAGTGCTGGAATTAAAGGCATGGGCCACCACAGCTGACTAGGCAAGAACTTTTTAAAAGGGATTCCAGCATCTTAGGAAGAACACTAAGAACTGACAAGTGGGATTGGATGACATTAAAAGATTGCTATGCTACACAACAACAACAACCAAAGAGTGCCGGGATTGCCTATAGGATGAATGGAAATCTTTGCTAACTATATATCTCACAGAAAGTTAATATTTAGAAGCCAAAGGGAACAATAACTAACAAAATGCATAGACAGTTCTCAAAGGATGAAGCCAGTGAGATAGCTCAGTGGGTAACGGTGCTTGCTGCCAGGCTAATGGACTGAGTTTGATCGCCTGGGCCCTAGATGGTAGAAGGAGAGAACCAACTCCACATGCAAGTATATGCATGTGCACTCTAAATCCACACACTAGCCTGCCACAAACTCTGCCTCCCTTTAAAAAACAATGAAGCATAAATAGCCAATAAGTGTGCAAACAGTTCAACATCCTTAGCCTCAAGGAAAAAAGGAATTAAAACTGCATTAAGATTACATTTCACCTGAGTCAGGATGGCTATTATTAAAAAAAAATATTATAAGAATAAAACACGTTTATACATTGCTGGTAGGGATGCAAAGTGATCCAAACTAAAAATAGAACTTCCATATGTCCCAGCTACACCACTTCCTGTTCTATACCCTAAGAACGCTGAGGTTTAGTGGTTAACTTACCCACATCTAGTTTACCTAGTTCATTAAGTAGTCAATATATAATTTCTTTTATTTTCCATACTCCATGTTATTGCCAATCGACTAAGTTACAGAGCTAGTGAGAGCCACATCTGGATTCCAAAACTGAATATACATGACCTCAATGTGGGTTCTCACTTAAAACAAAGCTTGGGTGCTTTCTAAACACCAGAAATGAATTGTCGTTGCACACAAGTCCATCTCCTTTCAGCCAGCCATTGGTCTTAAAGTACTTTGCAAAGCAGAAGGCTTTAATTTCAATAAAAACAGTTTATCACTTTTAAAAAATATTAAAGCTTTTGGTATCATGATTAACACAGTATTTGGATGTCTCACTCTGTAGTTGAAGCCAGCCTAGAACATACTATATAGACCCAGTCCTGTCTCAAATTTGTAGGAATTCTGGCTTAGTCTTCCATTTGTTAGGATCACCATGGGCATGCACTGTCTCACATTAGAATTCCTGTAAAAAATGTGGAACAGTTCATGAATTTGCATGTCATCCTTTTGCGGGGCCCATGCTAACATCTGTATCCTTCCAAATTTAGTATATGTGTTGCTGAAGTGAACATATTTCTTAAATGAAAGTCATCATGGTGGCTTTACAATTTATTAGTCACTTAATTTTGGCCAAGCCATTTAATCTCTCTGTGTTTTGTTTCCTCCTTTATTAAATAGAGGCTGATTATGACATCCAAAAATTTTGAAGATGATTCTGATCAACATATTCCCTTGTTCAGGTATTACTTTCCTCTGTGATGGTTAATGTTATATTTAATATTACATTTAAAGTTTAAACTTACTATGCTTGAGAGACCAAAGAGAAAAACATGCCTCTAACATGTAAGCCCCTAGCTTGTAAAAGCTATATCTCTCAGCCCATTTCCCCTTTTCCTCAGATGTTGAAGACTATTCTTAAACTGACTGATCTTGTAATATTTGCTCTACTTGCAAGATAATTGCTCATAAGACCAAATACTACCTCTGCTTTTAAATCCAGCCTGCTTACTCTGCTCAAAAGATAACTAAGACAACTGCAAGTTATATATGTAATGCTATGGGTCCAGAGTCGTTCAGACTAAGCATGAATAAAATTTAACAACGAAGAGGCTTTTACTCACATGTCAGTGCCAGGCGTATACACCAGTGACTCAAGATTCCAAAGTGCAGTGCCCAGCAACCTCACTCAGGGGTTTATCAAGGCAAAGAACACAAAGTTACATCCTGTCTAGTGCAGTGGTTCTCACTATGGGTTGTGACCCCTTTGGTGTTTGAATGACCATTTCACAGGGGTTGCATGGCAGACATTCTGCATATCAGATATTTACAATGCTTGAGTCATAACAGTAGCAAAATTACAGTCATGTAATTTTTGATGTAGCAACAAAATACTTTTATGGTTGGGGTTACCACAACATGAGGAACTGCATTAATGGGTTGCAGCATTAGGAAGGTTGAGAACCACTGCTCTAGTGCAAACAGGAAGTCATCTCCTACAAAGAAAGCTTTTGTTTACAGAAGCAGAAACAGCCATCTTGTTAAAGTCATACAAGACTAGACAATTCCAAAATTTAATGTTTAACAGCCCTTAACATTTGGAAGTTCAATTTTACTTTATAGTTCTCTTATGCATGGAAATTTTAAACTTTTAAACATAAAGTTAGCCATCAACATAATGTTAGTCATCACAATTAAAATAAGACCCTGCCTACAAGTAGTCAGTGAAGGAAACTCATGAACAGCAGGGGCTCAGTCCTGGGCCCTGGATTAGTCACAAACTACACCCATACACCTGTTTTCACAGCTAGATCCTTTTTTAAGCAGGATGGGATGGGGATGGGTGAAAGCAGCTGCTTTCTCACTCAGGCAGAAAACAGCAGCAAATGACCTTGCAGGTGTCTTTTTTGTTGTTGCTGTTGTTGTTGTCTCTCCCCCACCCCCAGGGTTTCTCTGGATTGTTTTGGAGCCTGTCCTGGCACTCGCTCTGTAGACCAGGCTGGCCTCGATCGGGAGATCTGCCTGCCTCTGCCTCCCCAGTGCTGGGACTAAAGGCGTGCACCACCAATGCCCAGCACAGGTGTCATTTTTAAGAAAAGAAAAAGGGGAGGTCTGTGTTAGCATGGATACCATGGTAAAGGAAATGGAGGATGAGGGAGAAGGGGAAGGGCCCTTTGTCCTGGAGGACAAAGGACTGCCTCTGGATAGAGGGAGACAGACATGGCACATGAGCAAATGGCAGTTTATAAAGGTAAAGGGGGAGACCCCATGCTAGGATGAAGTGTTTAATTTTAATTGGGCTTGTTAATTAGGTGAACCAAAGGGGACTTCTGATTGCTAGACCTTGGTAGTCAGTCTCAGGAGGAGGAAGTGGCCAAATAGGGGACTAGACCTTGGTGGCTAGCTTTAGGAATGTAATCTAATGGTTTGCTTTTGGAAAGGCAGAAGGAATGGAGAGAAAAGGAAAGCCTGCCAGAGTCACAGAGTGGACTAACATCCCTTCAGATCAGATACATGTAATCTGTGGCATTGCTTATAATAAGCCCTGGGTTGATATGGCTGGGTGCCGCATCTTGGGACTACTTCCAGGTGCAATCCTGACCCCACACCAGACACCAGTGTCAACAATAAAAAGCCTCTTCTTAGTAAAATTCCTTCATGGTCATGGTGAATCTCTGAGTGACCCCAGAGCCATAACACTTCTGGTGATAGTTAATTTTGATTGTCAGCTTGACTGGGTTTGCAATCACCTAGGAGACACATCTCTCGGCCTATCTGTGGCTGTGTTTCCATCAAGATTTAACTGAGGAGGGAGCACCCACCCTGAATGTGGTTGGCACCCATACCCTAGACTGGAGTCCTAGACTGAATGAAAAGGGGGAGGGGGACGAAGCTGAACCCCAGCATTCATTTCTCTCTACTTTATGATTCCAGTATGACCACTTACTTCATATTTCCACTGAAAGGCCAAATCAGAGCCATCCTAGAGAAAAAGGGCCAAAACCAGCCCTATGTAAGAACCTGACCCCATGACCTGTGCTTACACCATCCACCAAAAAAAACTGTCAGGCAGGAAGGTGAGGTAACCACAAACAGTCCTAACAAGCAGTCCAGACAGATGGGAAGTGGAGACAAACAGCCCTGACCCCAGGGGAACTAAGCCAAAAAGTTGAGAAACAACTTTTATGGGTACAAATGGTACAAGAGATAACCCCTGGAAAATCCCCAATCCCCCTGAACTCTGTAGCCAATCAGCTTCGAACCCATACCCCAACCCTATTCTGTAAACTTTGTCTTTATAAACCCCTCACTTCTGGGGCTCGGGGACTTGTCCTGCAGCTGCTATGTCAGTCTGTGGGATGAGGTCCTTGCCTAGGCTTGAATTTAATAAAGAAACCCCATGCACTTGCATTCAGTGAATCGGCTCCTTGGTGGTCTCTCGAGGGGTCTTGTGAACTGGGCATAAGACCCACTACCACACCTTTCTTGCCATGACTGACTTGTGTAACAGTTCCCTCCGAGATCGAAAAAGTCTATCTTGCAGGAAGTTCTTTAAACAGGAAAGCAAACTTGAAATAGTCTCAGGAAGTCCCTGAAACTGACTAGATTCACCAGGCCCCTCCTGGCCAGAGTAACCAACAAAAGTTGAGTGTCTCTCTCAGACAGAAGGGTGTTGAAATGCCAAGAAGATGAAGTGAAGCTGAACGCAGAGAGAATCTCAAAGGAGAAAAGCTATAAAGACTCTAAGACCAGGTCAGCTGCCTGCAAGAGTCGGAGACCAGCTGAATTGCCTGGATGAGGCTCAGACCAACTGAGCCTGGAAAGGACCGTGTCCAACCTATGGAGTGGCCTGCAGGCTGTGCAATGAGCTCCAGGTTCCCAGCTCTGTGACCTGTCACCCATGCTGTAAGGAACCCCTCACCCATATTTCTGTAAGTAATCACAATAAAACTGATTGATTCACTAAGTTGGACTTAGATGGCATCTATACTTTGGTCTGTTGTGGGTTTCCTATCTTGGGTGAGTCAAAATGTGTGTTATGCCTGCCACCTCCCCCAGGAAAAGTTTTGTCACACAAAAGTATGGGAGTATGAGACCACCAGGGAGAGACAAAACTTCAATTTTAAAATATAAAAAAACAAGGATTTTGTTGATTTATGTTGCAACAATAGCCTCCTTGCAAATCTGAGAGCTGCTGCAAAATTAGAAGACAGGCTGGGGTGTTTAAAGGAATGAACCACGACTGTCTCAAGTTTTTGAGAAACAGCATGATCCTCTGGTATGTGAGGCATTATCGTGTTCTTTGTTTGTTAGTTTTTCCAGAGCAAGCAAGGGTTAAGCAAGGTTACAGAAGCAGAGTGGATATCTGGTTAATATTTTAGAATAACAATTGCATAATAAGGGGAAGGGAGAACAATTTGGGGAGATGAGTGACCCTGACATCCCTTCTCACTTTAAGATTGCTGTCAAACTCAAGCTAATAGGGCCGACCTTAGGGTCATGGTCTAGACATCCTGTAGTTAACAATCCTTAGGCTAAGAAGAAGGTCCTTTACACTCCTAGGTTTTTCTTTTAAACATAGTCACTTAGCTTGAAAATCAGTTTGAAATGGAGCTAGTTGTTAACCATTACAACTGAATCAATCCCCCGAGCCCAAATAAACCTCCTTCCTAAAGTTGCTTTTGTCTGATTTTTGTCACAGTGAGGGGAAAAATAACTAATATATTTTGCAACAGACTTTGCCTTGTAGCTACAACGTTAAAATTTAAAATAATAAGAAAAGGAGATAGACGCCAGGAGTATCACAAATGTCAAAAACAGGGCAGTGGTTCAAACACCTCTTCCTTTTAAGGAGTTGCTGGGATTTTTTTGGGGGGGGCAAATGAGAGGGTATAAGAGCTTTAGTTGTTTTAAAAAGCTTTTGAAAATGTAAATGCTTATCAGACACCCCTAGAAACCTAAACATGATAGATTGAGGTGAACTTCACCTATTCTCAATTAGGTTTCCATTGTTCGCCTTTGGAATGATAGATGGGCTTCTGGAGATAAGGTCAGTTGTCTGTCCCTTGTTGCAAATGCTTCGTCTGTAAAATAAATGAATTACACGGAGCTTTGTGAAATGGTGTTTTTATATGAGGCACAATTATTGTTAATTAAATTAATTGACCGAGTTCACAGTTGAATTGTGACACTCCCCTGAAGGAGATACTAGCTTTGTTCTTCCCCTTGTTTTCCTTGATTCCTTCAGTAATTAACTGTCTGTTTTCCTATACCCAAGGCCGAACCCCAGGCAATGACATTTTGCTTGTCTTGAGACACAAACCCCCGCACACCTGAAGAAGGAAGCTGGAAGATATGAAAAAAAGAGCAGGTCTGCGACTTTTAAAGAAATCCTCTTTAACAAGCCAGCATGACCAAAATAAAAATCATGTAAGAAAAATGATCTCTGGGCAGGATCCAAGCTGAGGACACTGCAAATCAATAAACCAATAAACAAAGCAGAAACAGTGTACTTATTTCATTTAGCTCCCTGATACTCTTTGTACTAGTCTGGGAGGTGGGACCTGCACCATTA